TTTAAATTATAAATATTTTCTTTTAAATACACAATAAAGGACAAGCCATATAAGCTTAATGGCAGATTAAAAAAAAATAAAAAAATTAATACTTATTTGTAATAAAATAAATTCAAATCTGTAATCCAAAAATTGAATATTTGTTCCATTATTTTGTAAAACAAAATAATGAGGTTGGAACTGCGGAATAGCCCATATATAGTATGTGCTCGACATGACATGTGAGCGTCGGCACCAAATTTCCGTGAACTTACACGTACAGTACGTATAAAAAAAAAGTCTTCTGCCTTCTCCTTCTCATGTTCCGGCATGGATTCAGGTAGACTACCCGTGGTTTCGCTTTCAGAAAGCCAATTTCCTACCAGTATTTCGTATCGTATGTCAAGTGGGAGTAGGGATATTGAAGCACTCATCAGCGAAATTCAGAACAAATACGCGACAAAGTATCAAAGCCAAGGGTCCTCGAGTTTTTTTGGAGATGTGATTAGAATAACTAACCCAAGGACACCAAAAAAAATATTTTTTCAGTGGTTTCCCTATAAGGGGTTTAAACTGGTTAATGAAATAGGGAAGGGAGGTTTTGGCACGGTTTACCACGTCTTGGATAACGAATCCTTTGATTATGTGCTGAAATCACTGAAGGGTTCTAGGAAATTGTACAAAGGATTTGTTGAGAGTGTAAGTTTTAAGAAAAATTATATAGGAAATACTTCTTTTTTGACGGGAAATACAAATAATCTTATCACTTTTTAATTTAAAGTTGAAATCGTATGTATCTGTTGACGATCCTGCAATTCCGAGATGCTATGGAATAACAAAAGATCCAGAAACTAAAGAATATATGCTAGTATGTCAATACGCAAATAATGGGAATCTCTATCAATACCTTGAGAAACATTTTGACATCTTAACATGGGGAGACAAGAAATCGATAATTCTTGAAATTGCCTACGGAATTAAAGCCATTCACGACGAAGATCTAATACATAGTAACTTACATCCCGGAAACATATTACGACATGTGAATCGAAAAACCGGTGATCAACACACTTACATTAGTGATCTTGGAATTTGTAATCCAGTAGATGAGAGGCATACAAGTAAAGTGTATGGTGTCTTACCATTTGTAGCACCCGAAGTGCTTCAAGGTTCTAAGTGCACAAAATCGTCGGACATTTATAGCCTAGCAATGTTGATGTGGACCATAATCACAGGAAGAAAGCTTTACTCTGATCGTCCACATGATGTCTACTTGATTTTGGAAATCTGTTCGGAACTACGGCCAGAAATTCCCAGGAGCACACCACACACGCTTGTCGATTTGATCATGAAATGTTGGGATTCCGATCCAACAAAACGACCGGGCATTCGTGAGGTTATATTTATGCTGAATTGGATTCCATTTTCGGAAGGAGGTCCCATTGAACTTAGCACCGATCCATTTCCGCAGCACCAGAACGCCATTTATGCAAGTCACCTGTTGTACTCTCATGACACGGAAGAGAGGCTTAGGAAGTTGAAAGAGGAAGGTTCAAGAAAGTTAAAAGAAGAGATCAGGAAGGAGGACCTCGAGGGATTTGTAGAGATCATTAATGATTTGGATGTATTTGTTGAAGGTAAAAAAAATAAATATAAATATATCAGTAATATGTGATTTGGTGATATATGCTTATCTTAATCATTTGGAATACATTAGAACTTCCATGAACACGAGAATTTGCGGGATTTTTAAAAAAATTTTTCATACAGCATTTGTATTATTAATTAGATATTTATCAAACATTGCATTTGTATTTTTTATGTATGTAATTTCTTTGCTTTTCGGGTCATAGACTACATTTTATTTTTACGTTTTCACGTCCGCTCATTCCATTCTTCTGACAACAATGAGGTCGTTTCCGTGCAGCCATGGTATTTTTTGCTTACGTGTAACCTAAAATGGTACATTCTTCATGTGAATTGACGTGTCCTACCAAAAACTACATAAAAGATCAATTTGTTCCTTTTTTTTTTTTTGTATTTACATCCTTACATTTTTCCTTGAAAAGTTTGTGCTAAATTTATAGATCGTTGCATAAAATTTGAAAGATTTTCGATAAATGAATAAAAGAAAGGAAAAAAAAGCAATCAAATTTTCATAATTCACATGTCTCACATCAAATTTTTCAAAGGAACTCACGTGTATAATTATCGAATCTAAAGGAATATTCTACTTTACAATTTCCTTTTTAATGCAACAAATATTTATGCTATGCTTACATACTATACATATAAACGTATTTATGCTTCCCGTATTAACATTTTTCTGTTTCCTATTTCGGTTATTTTCAGGATTTTTTAAAATCAATGATAAATTTCCTAATTTTACCTTTTTTTTTGTTTTTTTTTAATCTGCCATTAAGCTTATATGGCTTGTCCTTTATTGTGTATTTAAAAGAAAATATTTATAATTTAAA